TTACATTTTGCTAATATAGGACAAACTCACAACACCAGTCAATTCAAAGGTCGTTATAACATAATGCGAAGATCCTACAATAACACAGAGCAAACCGCAACAATCAGACGAGCCCCTGTGAGCAAGCACTATGAACAAGAAATAGCGGGAAGGAAAAACTCTCTTTTAACAGGAAGAAACTTGTTGTGCATACAGACAGGCTGTGAAAAGAGGTGAGTGAAGAAGAAATAGTCAGTGAGAGTCATGGGAAGCCCCAGCAGCTTCGACCTATTAGCATACGGCGAGTTCAGGGTCACCTGATTCAGCCCTAACATTATTCCTTATCAAAAAGGAAAGCTTTAATTCTAATCTTAAAGGTAGAGAGGGTGTCTGTCTCCCATATCCAAACTGGTAGCTCGTTCCGCAGATGAGGGGCCTGAAAGCTTCGCCCTCTATTCTACTTTAAGAAACTCTAGGAACCACAAGTAAGCCTGCAGACTGAGAGTGAAGTGCTCTAATCATGTGATATGGTACTATGAAGTCTTTAAAGTTCTTTTATTGGTTTTTAAATGTCTTAATGGTCTTGGGCCTTCTTATCTCTCAGATCTGCTTTTACCATACGAACCCTCGCGGACCCTGAGGTCCTCTGGTACTGGCCTTTTGATTGTCCCTAAAGTCAGGACACATACTCACGGAGAGGCAGCTTTTCAGTGGTATGGTCCTCGTCTGTGGAACAGCCTGCCGGAGGAGCTCAGGGCCGCAGAGAACGTACATGTTTTTAAGAACAGGCTCAAGACCCACCTTTTTAATTTAGCTTCTACTTAGCGTTTATTTATTTTTTATGCTTATTTATTCTATCCTGTCATTCTATTATTAATTTAGGATTTACCTAATATTTTTTGATTTTATTCTTATTCATTTTTTAATCTTCTTACTCTATTTATATTTATATTGTATCCTGTTCTTATTTATTTTATCATTTTACCCTGTATATATCGTATTGCGTCATATCTCCAGTGTTTCCTCGGAGGGCGCTCTCTGCACCGGGGCTGTTATTGACCGTGGCCGCTGGGTCTCTGGGGTCCTCTCAGCCTGGTTGGGGGGCTCCTTGGCCTCCCTCCTGCTGTGTGCCCAGCCCGGAGGCTGCGGTCTGTGACCGGCTCCCGGTGCAGACGGCTCTCTGTTATAATGTTTCCTCACTTGGCTCATGCGAGCCCAGCCCAATTTTTACTCTTTAAGCGTGCGCGTGTGTGTGGGTGGGGGTGGGGGGATATATGTGTATTGAGAGTGTGGGGAGTGAGTTGGAGGGTGGGGTGGGCTGCTTTTAACTATGTAAAGCACTTTGTGCTACATTTTTTCTGTATGAAAAGTGCTTTATAAATAAAGATTGATTGATTGATAATATGGGGCCTGATTATTCAAGACCTTGTATGTGAGAAGAAGAATTTTAAGGACTTGATTCTGGATTTAACAAGGAGACAATGAAAATTAGAAGAAAAGAAGCTTATATGGGAGAAATATGCACTTCTTTTCTAGTCCCTGTCGGTACTCTTGCGGCAGCATTCTGGATCAACTGAAGCATTTTAGAACAACATAGTCTACAGCCTACAATTAAGAACTAGTTTTTCAGCATCACTCTGAGACAGGATGCTTCTGATTTTAGCAATAATATGTAAATGTAGGAAAGCAGTCCTACATATTTGTATAAAATGAGCATTGAAGGACATATCCTGGCCAAGGTAATACCATCCACAGTATCATGTTAGACACCATGTTTCTAAGATTTTGGGGGCCGAGTGCAATAACCTCAGATTATCTGAAATTAGAAGCAGGAAATTAGAGTTCATCCAGGACTTTATATCGTTAAGACATTCCTGCAATTGAACTCATTAGTGCGTGTCATCCGGCATCTACATAGCAGTGAAAATGTATGCTATGCCTTCGAATGATACTGACTAAAGGAAGCATGTATAACGTGAACAGAATAGGTCCTAGCACGGAACTCTGTGGAACTCCATAATTAGCCTTAGTGTGTGAAGAGGCCTCTCCAGTTATTTTAACAAATTAGAAACTAGATATAATTCAAACTGCAGCAGCGCAGTACCTTTAATACCTACAGTGTGTTCTAATCTCTGTAGTAAGATATTGTGGTAAACAGTATCAAACGCTGCACTGCGGTCTAGCACTACAAGAACAGAAAGGAGTCCACTGTCAGAGGTCGTGAAAAGATCATTTGTAACCTTCACTAAAGCTGTTTCTGTACTGTGAGGAATTCTGAAACCTGACTAAAACTCTTCAAATAAATCATTCCTCTGCAGACAATCCATTAGCTGTTTCACAACTACTTTTTCAAGAATTTTAGAAATAAAAGGACGGTTGGAGATTGGCCGGTAATTATCTAAAACAGTTGAGTCAGTTGATGGTCAGTTTTTGAGTAATGGTTTATGGTAACTTCACCTTAAAGGCCTGTTGTACGTACATTAATATTAATCTTAAATTGATCATATTTAAGATTGCCGCATTATTAAATGGTAAGACCTTTTTGTGGGAGCTTGTAGGAATGGAGTCTATTAGACACATTGATGGTTTAGAGGAAGTACAGCTATATTCCCTCAGTGTACCCAGCGGTTCACATTTTGTTTATTCAGACATGTAGAGAAACTTCCTGTCAACCACCGCACTCAGTTTGGGTAAATCAGAGCTTTCATTATGAAGTTATGGGAGGTCGGGTGTAGCATGTCCCATACAACTTGGCTTTATTTTGAAGTTTTTTCATGTATTGATTGTGCAATAATATCTATATACTTGACCTCTTTTCAGTAGATTATTTTTATACAAAAATATTTTTTGTATAATGGGGGGGGTCATCTATCCCATAATACCCCAAATATCCCATAATACTAGCTAATAATTTGATTACATTTTTAATGTCTGTTTTTTCAGACATTAAAAATCAAAAAAAGAAAAAAGAAATCAAACACCCAAGTCTCTCTCCCATCTTTTATTATTCATGTATAATCTCAGATTAATAATAGATCATCCAAGACCACACAAACCCAGACCTTGAACTTTCTAATTGCACAACTATGTCTGTCAGAAAAAATTAATCCAGCCATACCTCTGCATGCTGTGTGGCTGCGTGCACAGATGAGTGCATGTTTATCCACCGTGTGCACTTACGGGCCAAAATGCAGGCCTCAGACTGCAATGCTCTGATTATTCGCCCACTCAAATCAATCGAGCCATCTCCTATTCATATTTGATATGCCTTTAGGCAGTGGGATAAAGTTTAAAAGAAAAATCTAGCCATGCACTTGGAGGAAATCTGGTCAGCCTATTGACTCGTTTGAAGATTTTTACTTGAGAAGCTTCACTCTGAGATTGTGCTTGAAGAGCATCTCTCAAAGGGACTCGTCATACAGCACTCTATGAGGTAAAAAAACAAACAAAACATCCATCATAAGCGATCTAGGTTGTTCAGTTGCTTAAACAGTTATGAGAGGAGCTCAGTGTCACAAGTTCAGCTGAAGTCGACCTGCTCTGCCCAGCAGTGAAACGTCCCACCTGAGAGAACCTGCTTGCTTGCTTACTTCAAAGGTGAGGTTGGCGGCTCGGGGCTCTCTGAGCGTTAAAGGCACTGGCATCAGGCATCAGGAAATTCCCCTGTCACCAGATTCAACCTCATTCAGTCTGAACAAAAAGTGCACTCCTTTCAAGCAGCGTAACCTCTTATTTCCTTTATAGATTTATTTTAAAGGAGCTTCAGTTTTGAAGTCTTTTCAAAACTGAAGCTTTTTATTCGCCTTGAAATGTGTGGTTGCTGCATATAAAATGCATTTTCGTTTGAAAAGAATAAACACTGTGAGTCTCTCTGCCATGTAGCTGTAATGCGCACAGCTCCACTAAATCTTGCTTTAAATGAGCATGCCTGTTCCTGTTCTCCTTTAGTCTGTTCATCCTGGGGTTTAAAATATTCAGTATTTTCGCAGGCCTGGATGTTGTACGATTTTGAGGCAAGTGAGGCATAGAAAATCCTTGTGAGTCAGTGATTTCAATCAATGTTGAGTGAAAACGACAAAGTGATTGTTCCTCTTTCCGCCTCTTTTGTGTCGGAGGTTAAAAGATAAGAGTTTGGAAGAATCGGTAGATTAATAAGGCGACTGTTTATAAGCTCACCTAACCAGTTATGAGAGGTATTTTCACAGTATTAAACTGATTCTATCTATGGAAATAGTCTCTATGACAGGGATACCACCTGTTTCTTAAATGTGCTGTAATATTTCCAGGGAGCGTTTTTGTTTATCAGATTAAACCCTTTAATCTATTGTTTATGTAGCAGTACAGAAACTTTGACAGGGTGCTTCCCGACTCTCATTTTTCCCAGGATCACAGCTGCCACATGTGATATCTTTTCTGCCAAAGCTCGTTTTTTTCCTCCCCCCCCAAATAACAGCCATGAGGGTAAAACGCATTTGGTTAACGGTTAAATCAGCTCATACTGTTTGAGGTCCAAACAAATGTCTGCAGTGGTCAAAACAAACAGTAGCCTCTGGGCAATCACACAATCACGGCAGCAAGGTGGCTCAACGTCCTGGCGCCTTTGTTTTAAAGTTTACACTCTGGAACGTAAAGCTCTTATTCGATTAGATCATAGTTTTATTTCTCTCTCTCCCTGTGTGTGTGTGTGTGTGTGTGTGTGTGTGTGTGTGTGTGTGTGTGTTCGATCGAGAAAAAATCTGAAATAACTGTTGCTAATGACCTTAAATCTACCGACGCGTCTGCTGACAACAGTGAAAAAAAGACGCTCTGTGGAATTGTTTTAAACTTAGGTGATGAAACCCGACCTTTACTTTAATGTAATCTGTTTTATTTTTATGCACGCTTTTTCCGTTCTGTCTCTGTTTTCGTTTGGAAAAACTTAACTCATCCATATTTTTAACTGCATTGAAATTTTGATAATAATAATAATCATTTTAAAACATCAACAAGAAACTGGAATACATATTTGAAGAGAAGTAATATTTATTTGTAAACGATAGAAGTTTAAATTTGACAAGAAAATGTGCAAAATAGACCAAAGATACCAGCTTGGTAATGGAAGCGATTATTAAATCAGACAGTGGAAGAACTGTTTTGCCAGCATCGCTGTAGCTGACAACAAAATCCTACGTCTGTTCTTTTGGAGAAGCGCAGATTTGCATCTGTTTCTTTATGGCTCTGCCAATCCTGTTATTGAAGTGTGACTGCTAATATTTTGGGCTTAAGACACAGACAATTTTATTATTATTGTTATTATTATTATTATCGCGCTTACATGTCATGTATTTTAAAGTCCACAGCTTATCTCTGGTTTTGTGAGCACGTAACATTCTGCAGCAGGCTGGTCTCGTTAGTGTTGCTCGTCTTCGCACTGCAAAAGGTCGCCCGTTAAACGTTTTTTTCCCTTATAAAATAAATAAAAAACACCATCTGTCGTTGTTAAATATAGGTTCAATGCACGTTTAACAAGCTAAATGAGAGTCAGAGTCGATCTTGATCCGAAAAATGTCCTCAAGGTGGATGGCAGAAGGAGGAAAAGTCGAAAATGCCGGATGTCTAAAAACGACTTCCTAGGAATGAGCAAATGATTGCTCTGAAGTCAGATTAGATTGACTCCATGGTGCCGCGTCAGTTCATTTCAGCCCGTGCTGCGTCTCCTTGTGTCTCCTCAAATCCACCTTTCTCTGGAAACCTTTGCCGCAGAGGTCGCAGCCGAAAGGTTTGTATCCGGTGTGTTTCCTGCTGTGCGTAATGAGGTTGGAGCTCTGGCTGAACGCCTTCCCGCACACCTGGCATTTGTGTGGCTTTTCACCTGAAAGAGAAAAAAAATAAAAATACATTTGATTTAGGGTTTAAAAATATATATATAATAAAAATAAACGAGAGGTATACATTTTGCTGCTTAAAAATTGGATTTTGCGCACAGATCTTTTACCTCGGTTACAGAACAATCAAAACAACAAATGTAGTTTCGTCCCTTTCTTCGCTCACCTGTGTGGATGAAGGTGTGTTTCTTCATGTCCGACTTCTGATGGAACCTTTTGCCGCAGTACTGGCATGGGTACGGCCGCGTGTCGGAGTGGATAAGCAGGTGAGTCGACAGAGTTGACGACCGCTTGAAACTTTTACCGCATATTTTGCAGTCGAAACTTCTTTCCTGAAACGTGAGCAGAGGCCTGTTTTAGTCAAATTTTCGAGTCAGCGCATCCACGCTTGACAGGAAGGCGGGTTGAAAGTAAGATGTGAATCCAAAAAAAGAAAAGGGTGCAAACTGCATCTTGTGGTTTGAGGTGTGAAGATACCTGAGAGTGCACGGCCTTGTGTTGTTCCAGGCTCACTGCGTGTCCGAAAGTTTTGCCGCAGATTTCGCACGCAAATGGCCGGGTGCCGCTGTGTGATCTGCGGACGTGCACTTCTAAACCGTGGGGAGTGGAAAACACCTGAGAACAACAATGAATTGGCGATAAGAACTTTTTAAAATTTGCAATAAACCATCAAAGAAAAAAAACAACCAAATTCGATTCTGTGTAACTGGAGAGTCAATTGTTTGTGTTTTGTTCCACCTATAGAGAGGTCAGAGGTCAGCCAAAAGACAGCAGCTGCAGTGAGTCTTTGCTTGGGGCCAAGTTGAGCGGAAATCAAATTATCCCAAGTTTTTAAATTATTGGTGTTTTCTTACAAACATGCATGCATTTTATAGAAGACACTATATTAGACTGGACTATATGAAATCACACCTCTCTTCGTTGCTCTCTGTCCTCACCTTACTGCACTTGACGCACTTGTAAGCCCCATTGAGGATGAGGCTAGAGCACAGCAGATCAGACTGCGCGTTCACGTCGTGGGTTTTTCCGTGCATGCCTGCCTCAGGAAACAGCAGAGCAGCAGCGTGCCTCCTGTAGTTACCATAGGTCTCCTCTCCCAGAGCTCGGTCTGCATACAGGGCAGGATGGGTGCTTCTGTCTCCGTAGAAGCCCATCGCAGCCGGGCCTCTTTCTACCTCCATTCCCGTATGGAGGCTTGGCTGCACCAGCGGCCTCAGCTCCGGCCTGGGATAGCTGCTGCTCCAGGCGTACGGCCGGAATGGAACGGTGAAGGGCTGAGTCTCGTCCACCAGGGGAGAAAGAGATTTCTCCGAATCAGCTGGAGAGGGGAACAGATAAAAATTTAATGAAAGCAGTGAAGTGACCGAAGAGGAGCACCTCCAGGGATCTACGGGGCCTCAGAGGAATCATTGAGGGGAAAACTTATTTCAGATTCCCCAAGTGATGATTTGTGGTTGAGTCCGATTAAAATGAAATTAGATTAGATGATATCTGCTCTGATTTATTATAAAAACTGAAAACGTATTTGTGTGAAGAATAACTTCAATTTAAAACAATCTCAGAAAATGATTAAAACAGCAAAATATGTAAACTATCACAAAGGCCTGTTTTGCTTATTTAGTTTGCCGAAACGAACATTGTATTGTATGTTTTCTAAACCATGGTGGAAAAAATACAAATCAAAGTCTGCATTGGATCTGTGCGTCCTGGACGCTTTACAGTTTCCGCTCTGGGTCTTTCATGTGTACATGAAATGTAATCTATTGCAGGATCATCAGTATGTGTGTATGTATGTGTGTGTCTTTGTCTACCTGGCGAGGCGGAGGGAGATGGAGGCCTCCAGAAGTCCTCATAGTCCGGGGAGCGAGAGCACAGGCTGTCGGCACAGCTCAGCGGAGACTTGGGGGAGAAATCTGCTGCCTCGCCCAGGTGGGAGTCCGGAGACAGGTTGTACCTGTCCACCGACATATCCGTGTCTTCTTCTGGGAGTTTATCTCCCTCTGAGAAGCACAAAACAAATGACAGTCAGCATCGTAATGACCGGTGACTCAATTAAAGCCATTCTTATGTTGTTTTTAAAGGGCTGATAAATGACGTGGATGGTCGCCAGTTCGGTAATTTGTCAAAACAAAACTGGATTTTTGGTGGACAAAATTAGTCAGAGATAACGTCAATTTTTCTTGTGGTAATAGTGTTAATATATGATATGGTATAACAATAAAAATAATGTTGTAATATGTAATAAAACTGAATAACCCGAGATATTTAAATACATGCATTTAACCAAAAGAACAGTTTCAGAATTGAATACAAAACACTACAATGACTCTTAACTGTAAAGTGCTTTTCTTTTAAAGCATTATTCATCTTACAAATTATTGACAAGTGTTGCGATCAAAAATGTATTTTACTTTTGAAAAATACCCCTCATCCCGTCAGATTATATCGATATCAAATACAGCATTGAAAGTGTCATCTGACAAAGAGGGGAATATTGAAGAAAAGCCTCCTTTTGCATACCCGAGCATATGTGCGCTAGTATCGTGTCCAGCTTGTTGTAGTCATCCTCAAAACTTCGGGGTTGGTGATAACTGTGCGCCTTCTTACTCTTCACCAAGAAGGAGCGGGGCATCTCTGAAGCGGAACAGAACAAATCAGTGACAATAATCCAGCTGTAGAGAGCAGTCCTCCTGCGCCCGAGGCCGCTCGCTCCAAGATTTGACATCTACTGGTGTGGTGATGTTGCTCCCAAGTGCTTTAAGAGGTTTCAATCTGACAAGGGAGCATGCGCGGACTGTCGGTCACGCCTGCCAGGTGTCGTCGGACAGGTGTCGAGGCTGCTCGCCACAGCTCAGTGCGCTGTAAAAAATATCCGCCTGCAGAGTTTTAGTCAGAGCAGGCTGTAGGAAAACTGTCTGCAGCGGGGGCGACGTCGTCTTGCATCTTTAGAGCAAACGGACTCATTTCAGAACCCGACAGTGGTTTCCTTTCTTACAAGAAACGCAGGTGGAATGAAGAAGAGAAAAGTTTATTTATTGTTTAAAAGTACAACTTGGGACGATAAGTCTATGAGACACTTTTTGCAGTGTTTAACTTTTCCACAGCTTGGGGCTGCCGAAGTTCTCGCAGACTGCAGCTCGTGTCTCCCATGGAGCCCGTGGCAGTCGGGAGAGGTGATACAGGCTTTATCGGCGCCTTTCTCAATCTTTAAAGGGGGCAGGGGGAGAGGAAACGGGGAGACACACCCCAGGGTGCCTTGCTGGGGAGCTTGAAGTAGCACGTCGTGGTAAAATAAAGGGGTGGGAGAAACTTTGAACCGGCGGGGTAGTCTTATTATTCTTATAGGCTGCAATTAAAATTTGACCAAACGCTTCGGGTTTGCCAAGAGTGTCTCCGGTTGAGTTCAGCCAATAAAACGCTAGAGGAAAAATAATTCATTGAGAATAAATCCTCACATAAAAACGCACCGCAGTGTCTCTCTGATCAAAACTCACTGCCGGCTCCACACAGGACAAAGTGTTGTCCCGGTCTGGTGGTCACTTGAGCCCATAAACTGTTATTATGTGACAGACACTCTCCGTCCTAACGCCTGCGGTGACCGTTTCACATTACCCCGAGAGGAAGAAGCAAATAACGGAGACAGTTTGTTTTCTGTTCGCACAGGTCGAAGATTAGAGCGTCATTACGCGCTGATCAATAAGACGGAGTCGTGCGTCCTGGTGCCTTTCATCCACTGCAGGTGTAATAAAACAGTTTTGAGACGGCATTGAAGTGAAAGTGTGATCAAAAACCTGCATTCGTTTGCAGTAAATACAGGTGGCTATCAGGCCATGTTTGCGCTTTAAAGTTTTATTGTTCGTGGCTTGAGACGGTTGAATTGCCACGGAGCCGAAATTCACACATGCGCATTTTGGATGACTTTTCATTTCATTGCGTTTCTTTACTTATTATTTTAATATATCACCAGGTAACCGTTAGTAAATCCGCTCCGGTCAAATCCTCCACGCCTGTAAAGGTGTGAAGTTTCCTCCAAATCAGACAACTGGACGCCCAAAAAGGTTTCAGACCGTTTACACGGCTTTGGCACCAACATGTCAGTGAATGCATTTATAATGTCGGCTACATGCAAACCGTTATCAGTAAATAAAGGACAGGAAATTAAAGGACCACATGTCCCAGCTCGATTAGACGCATCACGGCATCCGGATACAGTTTTTTGGAGAAGATATGAAGCTCGAACCGATAAAAGCAGCTGCAGCAGGGCCTGCTGCCCGATAGGCAGACGGTTTCTTAACTGTAGCATCATGCCATCAAAATTAAATACACGCACATAATAATAATAATAATAATATTAATGATATTAATAATATAAATACATTTAGGGATTTGATGCCGCTTTTACGCAGGTTGTTAGAACTTCGCGGTTTGAAACTAGATTTGATTTGATATGCGGTTGTTTATAACCGCACAATTAATTAACTGCGTCATTATTTCTGCAGTATTCAAATATTTTCTTCTCTCCGTTGAAATTCACTTTTAAAACGCCTCTACATGTGAACTCACCAAATGATTCACGCCTCCCACACTGCGCCACTGTATCGCGCTCTCCTTATAGTAAACATTTCAGGACGCACGTTTAAATCTGTTCGAATATTTGCAAAGGTCAATCAAAGAAAAAGAAATCAACAAAATACATAAAATCAGCTGTATTCACACACCCGTGTCTGCGCAGGAGTACTGCTGTTTAGGTTGTGCTAAACTCGGGTATTATTAAAAAATAAAGCCGAATTTTGAGATTAAAATTGAAATGATTAAAATAGAATTGATGTGGCTGTAACATCTGGCACCCGCTATAGAAATAAGCGACCTTCCACTGCGCCACGTTAAAAAAAAAAAAAATCGCCAACCTTACTAGTCAACGCAAGTTCTAAAAATCTGAGCTTACATCACTAACAGACTGGCCTCACTGTCCAACACAAACTCATCATCAGCATTTTGTGGGGGAAAAAGCCAAAAAACCAAACACAAACCTGGTAAATGTTTCAGTGCCCGAAGAGAGATGCTCTTTTTAAAATGTGGTTTTCTGCATGAAATGATTAGTAGTTGAGGCTCAACTTTGAAAACCGCGAGAAAAATCACTTCCTGAAACAGTCAATCTAAGCTAAGAATCTTCAGAGGAAGGCAGCGCTGAGACTAAACATCCCACATGTGCTGTTCAGCCTGCACGAGGAGACTCTGGTTAGAGGTTTGCAGCCACCATTACAAGACAGACCAGGCCAGGAGTTTATCAAACAATTTTATTGTGAATTCATCCCTTTCGCTCACTCGCTCACTCTCTCACACACACACGCACATACATATATATATATATATATAAAACAATCTCATTTAGTTTGCAGAGTGTGCTTGACTGCATCCATCATAGTGTGTCCATACTGCACTGCAGACTCAAAAAAAGTGCCATTAGGTGTTCCTCTTCTATTCCATCAGCAAAGAGACATTAACATCATCATCACCTGCTCAAAGTCAGAATCTTTGCTGGTTCCTGGAGACTGCGGCTGCCTCGATTCATACAGAAGTTAGTGTTCAGACATTCAGAGAAATTCACTTTTACACATCCAGGTCATGAAATGGAGTGGCTTGTAGATCCAGAACATAGGCCTCGCTTTGGTAACACTTTGCCGGTCCCGATTAGTTTCCATGCTGTGTTGTTGAGTGTTGCTTTATCTCGGCTTCATCTCCTGACCAAAGTTCTCTCAGACTGTCATCAATTCCGTGCAAATTAGTGACACTCAGAACATATGAGAGGCATCATTCAGCTTTGAGTCATCGGTAGATGCATTATGCACTGAAGTGATTCGCCTTTTACCTCATCGTGAAAGTGAGATCGTGATGCTTTCAGAGAACTTTGTAAAACAGCAACAGTAGCTAAGAAATAAACCTGTCCCCATCTGCACTTATTAACATGCTGACTGCTTTAAGAACGGAGAGTTCAAAAGCATCTAAAGAGGGGTGACTAGTTATTCTACCAGGAATTCACCTCCCTCGTCTCAAAAGCAGGATTTGTTATTTGTGTTAAACTACATTATATGTCCCTTTACTCTCAAATGTACAGCATATTCTAAACACCAGATATGCATTTTCAAGTTCAAAAGGAAGTGGGGGGAAACAAACAACATGATACACATTTACATATCTACTTGTACGCAATGTCACTTTGACCTTGAAAGGCATGTGGCACGTGCTAAGGCCAAAGAAAGTCATCAAGTCGTCGCTGGCTGATACAAGCGAGTTTGATACCAGGCTCTGATGAAGCTCTTCAAGACATTAGAAATATAGATATTTATACATGCGCACGCACAGCACTCATACAAATCTGCCTCTGCATGATGGAGACTTAGTAGTAACGGCATCAATGCATTTCTGATGTTCATTTATAAAAAGCTTTAAAATATAAAAACATGAAGTGTGTAATATAGAGTAAAACGTTTTTATTGCACAGTCTCTTTTTCTGTGTTGTACCTAGAAGAAGCGGTCAGGAGTGATAGACTGAGATCTCCCTTCTCCTCCTCTTTGTCAGGTCTCTGTGGCCCAGTAGAGTCTGAGACGCTCCACGTGATTTGAGCCTCTACTGAGGTTCAGGCTGAGCTTCTGGCTTTACTCACAAAACCCCCCCAAAACAACAACAAGAAAAAAACTGCAAAAGGAAGGTAAAGAAAACTAAATCCACGTGTGATTCTCAGGATATCAAATGATGATGATGCATTTCATTCTTCAAGTTCAGGAGTCTCCTCTGAAATGGTTTGCTGGATGACCCTCTCTTCCACAGTTAGTGCTGACAGCCTCCGTCTCCACTTCAGCAGCCGGCGGGCGCCGCTCACACGGAGGTGGTCTTGTGGCTGCTGCTCTGAGGAACAGAGATCCGCAGGGCCTCTCCGTCCTCCTCCTCCTCATCGCTGTCGGTGTCCTCGAGTTTGGGGTGTAGTTTGATACGGCTCCTCTGCTGGGGGACCTGCAGGGGGGAGACCTTGACCCCATCGTCGTCCGAAGACTGGTAAGACTCATCATCCGCCCTGTAGTGGTTGACAATATGGATCCCATCAAAAGTGGGCTGATTGGCCAAGCGCCCCCTCTGTCCTTTTAAGCAGCGAATCTGTGAAAGCAAACAGTGAGAGTCAGGAGCCACACAATCTCCCACAGATCAGACTTCTGTGCCTGAAGGCAGCTGCATGAACACCAAACCTCTTGAAAAAATTACAGCTAACATATTACGCTTTTCTTTATTTTCTGTCATAAATACACTGTTACAGTGGTGGATGCACACATTAAATATAGCCAAAGTTTCAAAAAATGAGGTCAGCAAACATGCAAGTTATCCCAGTAAGCCAAAAGCTCCAGACTCTACACACCTGGTTTGTAACCAGGGGGCTCTACAGGATGTCAGAGACGGTGGATATCCTGACATTGTCACATGTGTGAGCACCCTCAGAAGAAAACTGGCTTAAAGGAATCTCAAACTGCTTGTTACAGATGCTATATGACCCGAGGTGCTGTGCTAAGGCCTGGATCACCTCCCTGAGATCCTCTGCTCCAATATCGTCGTGGACCAGCTCTATTTTTGCTTCACTGTCTTGTGTCTCTGAAGCAGGTTTAAGTGTGAATGATTAAAATGGGTATAGTTGTATAGACAGCTCACTAATTTATTTATTTTTTTCGGTTGCTGTTATTGTACTCAGAAGGAAAGAGGGAGGAAGAAAGTCTTGGTCAAACCTTCTTTTAGCCAGGTGCAGGAAATATAGAGAGCGGATATCTAGTTCAGCACTTCCTGTCCTGTCCGCTGTTCATTGTTTACTAATAAAGAGAAATTTAAGACAGTTTTCGGATTGAATTTCAACAAATGTGTTTCCTGTGGCCAGTTTTACTTAATAGTAGTGCGACTTATCAGAAAGTTTACAGAATCATTTTTCCCTTTGATTCTACAGAGTGATATGTTTTAATGCAGCTGAATTCACAACATAATTATATCCACATTTTTTCTGTTAGTGTCAAAGTAGCGCTGCTACAGAAAAAAAAAAAGCAGCCAAGCTGTGACGCTAATGTTTAAAATGAATAACGACAGAGAAATATGACTCTTGCACGGCTTCCTGGACAACCTGTGACTGCTAGCAACTCAGTGAGATAACAAAAACTTGACACACGTGATATGAACAAACTGTCAGTGGGAGCTGGTGACATTTTACCAGAAACACTGAAACAAATAAGATGAGATGTCCTCTACAAATTCAACATGCAGGCACCAGTTCAACCAAAAATAAAAACAAAAGGGAACAATGCAATAAAATCAGAGCCATACTACACACCAAGAGTATACAACTGGTGAGTGTCCTGTTTGTATAATTAGTAGACATGAAATAAATATTTTTACAGCACTCACACGGAGGAAGACAAGTTGTCCCTTTTAAATTTGTAGTAAAAGCTTTTATTCACACGTCTCAATATAAAATTATATAGAGATTTAGAAATGTCACCGTCCAATTCACAAAGCCTATATGCTGTCTTTGCTTCAATCTTTGATGAGTTTATTGAATGTGTGCACGAATGTGCTTTATAATCTCAACACTTAAAGTCAATGTGTAGTATGGATTTGGGACAAAGAGTCATATAATTATGTTCCATTTAAGACTGCATGGTAGCAGGAAGCACCTTAAACCACGTTAACAGTTTAAGGTGCTTCCAGAGCTTCAAGGCAAAGGAAAAGTGTCTGAGACTGGAGGATTTGTTTTCTCTCGGAAAACAAAATACCTGGTAAGGAACTTTTTGCATTGACTGTATATAAAAGATGGCTATAGCCAATCTGGTGTTCATCCATTAATTTTTTAGACTTGCATTGCTGCACTTTTTTTTAAAAGTCAGAAATATATTTAGATGATAGAGAGCAATGCTATAAGCTAATGCTATCCAGGTTAGTTAGAAATAGGGCTGCCACGATTAGTCGACTAGTCACGATTACGTCGACTATTAAAATCGTCGGCGACTGATTTAATAGTCGAAGCGTCGTTTGAAGTTTTGTTAGATCCCAAAAGTGCAGGAATAAGTAGCAGGATTTAAGAGTGTAATAATAGACTGAAACAGAAGATGGCAGCACTGCATGTACAAGGATGTCAGCTGCCGTTAAACCCCAAAGGAGAAGAAGAAGAAGCTGTGTCCCAGAATTCATAGCGCGGCCCTGCTCAGTTTCCAACAATGCTGGCAGCTAGTTAGTTTTAATATTACTCTTATTATTCTTTCTGGGTCACAAAATAAACGTTTAACATATTTTCAGCCGAGAATGTAGCTGTGTAAACCTCAAATATCTGCTCAGTTTATCAAGACACCACATATTTGCAAAAACACTCCGACGTTTTCGGAGACGTCTGTTACCCACCAGCTCGATAGCTAGCCGGGGGCAAGGCTCACTAGAGCCCGTGAGAACACCGGACTCCCGGCAAATCGTTTTCAAACCCACCGCCATCTTTCACTAGGTTAAACGTGATATATAAATCACTTAGATAACTTAAAAAAAATTTTTTTAGTATTTTACTTGTTCCTGAGTAAATCGGTTTGGCTGAGATAAAGTTATAGTTTTTACACAGCTGAATAAACGTCAAGCAGACAGCTGATTATCAGAAGTGTGAGATGCTCGAGAATATACTCCGGTGTCCTGTTATATTTTAGATAGCAAGGAGCAGACGGCTGAGTTTATTAAACTTCACCGAAACAATCTGCAAATGTCATTAAAATTTAATAAACTATCATCTTGTCGTTATTTTTAGTTAGCACAGACCTTAAAACACTTAAAGCTGTAAGCTAATGATAGTTATAAGAGCAGATGCATGCTGGTGCAATAAGCTGTACGCTTTACGTCCAATGGATGCATGATCTGATTAGTCGACTAATCGCAAAAATAATCGTTTTATTGTTTTTAATGAAGTGCTGTCCGAGGATCAAAGATCACAGCATCCAGTTCTTGGCCTTTTCTGCACACAGAGATTTCTCTAGACTCTCTGACATTACGTACTTTAGATGATGAGATAGTTAAAGCAATCAAAAGCATACGCTATTTTGAAACTGTTGCTGAATTTGTAGACTCAGTTTATAAACCTTGCCACTCTAAGATGCTCTTTTTATACTAATTCACGTTACTGACCTTAATTAACCTAATTAGTTCCAAGATATTCTTTTGTTTCTCCTGTCCCAACTTTTCT